CTGATAGGGTACCCAAATAAACTGTAAAAAAAAATTATAGAATTATTAATGAATTTATAAAAAAAAATAGAATTAAAAAATTAATAATTATTATTTTGACGGAAAAAACTTACATCGGTCTCCCTCAGGCTAATCAGCTGATCCCGAATAGCAGCCGTGCCTGTCACCAGGTGTCGCATATCCTTCGATCCCACCCACCTTAAAAATCATAGAAAAAAACTATTTGTAATTAGAAAATTTGATAATTGAAATAACTCAAGAGTTAAATATAATTAAAGGTTATTATTACCTTGCACCCAAGGGAAGACCTGGCTGAGAGCCGAACTGCGTTGTCTTAATGATTGGGCTAAGCCGAGGGATGCGTTCCCATGCCCAAACCTGCACATATGGACATATACATTTTTTAGCACATATTATTGTAATTTATAATAAATAAAATTGATTTGCGATTAACAAGTAATTAAAGTTACCTGCATCAATTGCACGCAGCCTTTGATAAAATTTTCTTTCGGTTCGTAGGCCTCGCAAAGCGCTCTATATAACCCGGCCAAAACCGCTGCACCCCAGCTGTACCCCGGTATGGCCTCGATGTCAGTCAACAAGGACAACCAGTAAAGGTTGACCCCGTTGGCCCGATGGTCGGGGAAGAAGAAGGACCCAATACACCAGAGTATCAGGACTCTCGCCCTCTTCTCGTACTCTGATGTATCGAGTCCATCCCTCAGAGGTCGCTTGCACTCTGTCTCTAAACTCGAGAAGTACAAGTACTGGCCAGAAATATCCCACTGAGTGGGTTCGAAGGCCGGGTCGTCGCGATCCTTGAAATACGTTTAGAATAATTAAAAAATGAATTTGACTTCAATTGTACGAATTTGACTTTAATTGTACTAATTTGACTTCAATTGTACGAATTTGACTTCAATTATACGAATTTGAATTTAATTGTACTAATTGAATCAGTTGCTTTGCAGTTGGACAGTTACTTGCGCAGTGTGAAACTTCCGGCTACCAATTTCATACTCAAGTCTTCTAAAATTGGACTTTAATTGTACGAATTTGACTTTAATTATACGAATTTGACTTTAATTGTACAAATTTGACTTCAATTGTACTAATTTGACTTCAATTGTACGAATTTGACTTTAATTGTACTAAATTGACTTCAATTATACGAATTTGACTTTAATTGTACTAATTTGACTTCAATTGTACTAATTCGACTTTTCGCCAAACTCCTAAAGTCACACGACCACTCACACGAGTCGTGTGGGGTCACACGACCCGTGTCATTGGACACACGACTCGTGTGAAAAAGCCGTAGAAAAATTCTCAATTCTCTGTATCCACATGACTCGTGTCACATACTCACACGAGTCGTGTGGCTCATCTGCACATCAATTATGTCGTTTTTCGTCCAAATTTCATATTTAACTCATTTTTGGTGATATTTCTTGCAAAAC